AGAGCCTACAATCTTTAATTATTAAGATTATTTCATTGTTTAGCACATTGACCCGAATTCTAACTCGAGGAATTGCAAGTCCAAGTTAAAAAAAATTAAGAATGGATTGACCTCGGTTCATTAAGTCGAGTTTAGGGTCGGATTCGATTGGGGCTCAGATTGATAATTTTATACCTCGAGTTGAGTCTCCAACAAGTGCGTGTTATAGTCCTACTTAACCATATGATTATAGTCAAGAGTATTATCAAATTGGATTCAATGTAATACAGAAGATCAAGTTGATAAAGATACTAAATTTTTTTATCTAAAACATCTTATTTTTCCACATTATGACATCAGAAATTGACAAACCATTTTGACAGTTATTATTAGCATTTTTTCCATTTGGTTATATGGAAGTAGCAATAAAAGAAATGAAAAGAAATGAAAAATGAAAAAATAAATTGAAAGAAAAGAAAATTAATTTTTTAGCATGCATCTTGTTAGGATAAAAATTTGTTCAAAAAAATTGTAGGAAAGTATCATATTATAGTTTAGATACCTAAATTGCTCTTATTTTATAAAATAAACAGTAAAATAAAAGAATTAATTAGTAGCTAGTGATGTATATAAAATTAATAATGAAAATTTCAACTAATTTAGACCTTACAAACTACTATTTATTTCATTTTCATATATGAGAGAAAACAATTAGTTATTGAAGTTAAGTTAATTCAAACTCTTTTGATGATAAAATTATTGCTTAATTGTAATTCTTTCAATCGAGTAAAAAAAAACGTATTGTTGATCTCAAATATTGACGAAATTGTTGAGTAAAAAAATATCAATGAAGTTGGTTAAAATAAGAAAACAAAATAATGAGACACTGCTTTCACGTTTATTTTTATTAATGAAGTTGCTTTCAAGTTGAGTTGGACGAAGTTTAGTTCAAAATCCGACCATCAAAAAATATCAATGAAGTTGCTTTCAAATTGGAGGAAGTTTAGTTTAAAATTTGTACTTAATTTTTTCCAATCCCAAATTCAATGTGTCGATTCGTTACAGTCAAACATAACATGAGCGAGTAATGGACTCAGCTCGGATTTCCTCCATTTTCGGCAGATGAAGTCCTATTTTATGTCTTTGAAAACCAAGTATTTGACTGACCAAATACTAGCAATTTGAATGACACAATTTTCTATTTGGGCAAATTTTTGTAGTTTCTGTTGAAAATCTGACCATCAAAAATTGCTACCCACAATAAGATCATAACATATAGAAATTACAAATGTAGAGTTGTGAATTGAGATTCTAAGTAATGTTCAAATAATAAATAAAATAACAATCATAATGTTTTATGTACAATAGTGCGGTGTCCTTACTCACATACTAATAATATACATATTAATAATGTCATAATATTTATTCATTAACAAACAGTAAATGATCACTTTTTTTATTTTTTCTTTTCCTTCCATATTTTATTATCTTTTGTTTTCTATTATTGTTTTTTAATCATTGTTTTTTATTCTCTTTTGACATTAATTTTTATTTTTTTATTTTTTTTAATAAAAAATAAAAATACACTATTATCGGATCGAATTATTGGATCGAATATCTATTTATTAACAAATTGGATGTGAATTCACTAACAAAAAATCCGTCAAATTATCGGATCGAAGAAAATGCTAATCTAATTCGGATCGATCAGGTCCCGTCTGATCCGAATTGAACCCATTAACAGGTCTACCTGGGTTGCTCCTAGTGTCCATGACCTCATGTCCAAGAGATAGGGATAAAATTTAATACTGTTGATTCAAACACCAAACATTTCAACCTACAGCATTTCACGCTCATTAACATTTGCCAGCGAAAAGCCTATCTAGGTCGACGAATATTCGGTTTGGTTGTCTGTAAAGAGAACTAAGGATCTCTTCTGTAATCTGTGTACTACATCCTTCATCAACTTGACATCACCTTGAAAGCACTGTTGAATCATCAAGAGGATTGTCACAAGAAGTTCGACTTGAAGTGTGGTGTTTGCCATATGCATTTTACGGCATGCCAATGAAACATACCTATTTTCTTTTTCCCTAATCCACTCATTCCCATCAACTCTCTTCTTTTATAAAAGAGACCTATATTATTAGGACAAAAGAGAAAAAGTTTTAAAAACATTAATAAACTTGTGAAACATATATTCTGAAATTGAAAACTAAACTTTCAAATCTTTAATTCTCATTAATAAATTGTTCGAGCATTACATCATAACAATATTATATATATGTATATAGAAACAAAACAAAAAATCAATATGTAAAACATGAATAAATAAACGTTATCAATAGCTAAAAATGCCAATTAAAATTTTAGAAAAAGTAAGAGTTTGTTACCTGATGACTGATGACGAATGCTTCTTAAACCTTGTTCTTACTAAATGTTAAGGCCGATGCTAACCCTAAAAATAAGAAAACACTCAAGTTGTGAGGAAGAGATTTCACAATCTCACTCACAACAATTAAAACACTACCATCTAAGTACTATATGTATCATGTATCAACCCAACCCAACTATGCTTTCAGTCAAAATGTTGGACACCTATCCGTATAAATAGGTGTGATTAGCACATATTATACTCAGCTCTTATATTAAATTAATCCAATAACAAGGTACAATGCATCAATTTAAGACTAATCTTCAAAATTAACAAATCAATATCCTGATATTCTGCATTCTAATAACAATAGAAAATCAAAAACCAAAATTCGAAAATAAAAATATGGCAAAAAGATTGAATATATCCATAGTGCATTACACAGATTGTATTTCTATGTGAAACAAAACATCCAGGATTTCTCAATGGGGTGGGCTAAATCAAAATATATCAACCAAAATCAACTGTTGTTTAATCCAATTTTAGCTAACTAACAATGTTTCTTTAGACAATTGACTGAATAAGGCATAGAAAATCCTATTTGGGTAATTAATAAAAAAAAATTACCAATTTATTTCTGAACAATTCACCACTCAGTACCCTATCTGTTCTTTTGACCAATTTACTAATCCTATTTGAGAATCTACTAGTGGAAGCAGAGTGTGAGGTAGTTCATGGCAAGCCCCTTCCAACACTATGGAATTCACTCAAAAGCACGCTTTTTGTAAGTATTTTAATTTTCAAGAAGTAACATTAGAGCTTTACCCTATATTAACTACTTTCGCTTGTCAAAGTTCTTGTTATGATTTTTTTTTTTTTTTTTTTGTTCTAAAAAGATTTCCATCTTCAAAAAGGTTGGCATGTTGATAAAAATTGTTTAAGATTCAATCTCTGCAGATTTCTAATCCAATTCAAATTCTTTTTATTTTTTTTTTTTCTTTTTTTTGCATGCCCAGATTCAAATTTTTTGTAGACATAATTGACCAAAAAAAAAAAAAATAGAAGTTATAGAAATAAAAATATATATATTTGTGTTGCTGAAATAAAATGTAAATTACGGTGATTACTTCAAAATGCAATGCAATGATTACCTTCTATAAAAATATATATATTTGTTTTGCTGAAATAAAATGTAAATTACGGTGATTACCTCAAAATGCAATGCAATGATTACCTCAAAATGCAATGCAAATTTTGTTACTTTATATTGTAAAAAAAAAAAAAAAATTATATAAAAAAGATCATAAAAAATTTCACCAAATAGGATTTAGTTTGCAAAACAAGAATTACAGATCTTCATTAGTTGAGAGAGAGGGGGGCAACTTGAGAGTTGAGAGACTCTCAAGTTCAGTTGAAGCTTGTGAACGGCAAACCCGAACTGGAAAGATATGGGCTTCGATATTTTGAACAATCTGAAATGATATGCCGATATGGGTTTTGAACTTTTGATTCTAGCAGACAGATAGATAAACTGAAATATATGGGTTTTGAACTTCTAATTCTTGTAGATTTTGTAGTTTGCAATTGGAGAGAGAGAGAGAGGGGCAAGTTCAGACTTGAGAACGAGAATAAAGATGGAGGCGATTGGGGAGGCTGAAATGATTTGCCCTAAAAATATTGATATATATATATGGACAGAAAGAACTAGTCAAATGGTCAAATCAACCAGTCAAAAAGCTAGTCAAATGGTCAAATCTATCGGTCAAAAAAAAGGTTTTGTACTGGAGTTGCAGGATTTGGCTGATTTGATTATGATATAGTGATAATGATAAATCCGTGTTTGGGGTTTTGACCATTTGACTGGTTAATTAAAATGATTTATCCTAAAAATATTTTGTTTTTTTGTTGACCTATAAATTTTGAGGCTGAGGCCGCTGATCGCCTTTGTCGACTTGGGTCAGAGCCAGACTTATTTGGCTCGGGCCTTTATTTTAGTATGGGCTGAGTTTATTTGGACTTGATTAAGCGAGCTAATTCTATTAATAATTTTTTATAATATGTTTTTTAGACTAGGCTAAAATATGAAGAGTTGATAAATCTTGCAGCATAACTAGTGAACGGATTCAAACCATACGTAATCACACCTCTTTATTTTAGTATGGGCTGAGTTTATTTGGATTTGATTGGGGGAGCTATTTCTATTAATAATTTTTTAGACTGGGTTAAAATATGGAAAGTTGATAAATCTTGTAGCATAATTATACAAATGAATGGTTCGATGTAAAGTGAACTAAACAGCAGGGGATTGACTGTGGACTAACCCAACATCAGTCAGCACACTAATTCAACTGCTTGGTTCACTTTTGAAATGATTTTTCAAAAACAAAACTTAATTTAATAAATAATACTAGTATATTAAAAAATAAAAAATAAAAAACATCTATCAAGAATCAAGCGAAGAGAAAATCAACATCACATCCATAGCAAAACAGATCAAATATACTTATATAAATGTTTTTTAAAAAAGAGCAAAACAGATAAAATGTGTTCATATGGAATTACATGCATGTGTGTGTTTTATATATGCACATAGATGTATGTATAACCAAGGGAAAAGAATAAAAAGTTAAATAAACCATATTAGGGTTTCTCTCAGACAAATGCCTCGATTTGTCGTCAGGTTTAATGGAATGGATATAGATCGGACTCGTCATCATTTTGAATCATCACTGAGAAACCCCGTTAGTATTATACATTGTTCCAACAAAAATGAAAAAATGGAGCTCAGAAAATATTACCAACCAAGTGAGCAACACAGAGAGAGATCTGGATGCGAAACTTACCTCAGACAAAGAGCAATGAGATGAAGGCGACACTGCTATTTGCTCGTTTTATAGCCCAAACAGTATGGTAGGGTTTATTCCATCGCGGAGCTGGAATGGTGAATACCAAAAGTGGCCTTATATTTTCCGAGAAAATTACGATAAGATCAAAATGTCTGAATTACCCCTTTCACCGCTATGATATTACGTTGCTCTGTAATTTCCTCTCCTACTTTTGTAACCCTGATTCAATCTCCATTGAAATTGACTCGTTTCTCCACCAATTCTGCGATAATTGGCTTCTCGAACTATATATAATTATAAATCATATATATACATGATATGATTGTTGTGGCGAGTTTCAAATTGGGGCCAATCCCAACATGTCTATCTCAAAAGCATTCAAAGAGATCAAATTGTTCTCCGTCAAACTCTGTCTTGTCGAAATTGATTCCAGAGGCCAACTCCATATCCCACAAAGGAAAAAGATGGTAAAAATGGGTATGTCATGCTTTTTAACAAACATCTTCTGTGCACTGTAATGCTTGATCAGCTCTTGTTGCAGGTGTGAGTGGTTTGATCTGTATAATGAGCTAATTCCATATGGGGATGCGTGGTCTCGGCAAAAATCCATTGTCAAAGAGAGGAAAGCATTGATTGAAAGGAACGAAGACTGGTCTGACACTTTGATCATTCTACAACACCAACCTTTTTATACATTGGGTACCGGTAGTTCAGAAGAGTTATTGAATTTTGACATAAAGGATGCTCCTTTCGATGTTTATCGAAACAAACTGGGCGGGGAAGTGACATATCATGGACCAGGGCAGGTTATTGTTCTGCTTTTTTGAACACATTTCATTAATTTTCTTTTGATTTGTAGAATTTCAATAGTTGATATGGATATTAATGTCATCATTTTTTGTTTTACCTTGTAATCAGTTTAATGGGTTTTAAAGGATGATGATTTAGAAACATTAGCGTTTGCTTTTATACTCTAAAGCATCTTCTACAAAGCCACATTAATAGGTGGCAAATAGAAGGAATGAAATTGTTTTGGTGTAGAGAGTTAAATGGAATTTTGCACACCCTAAAGCACTATCTACATGAGATGTAAAATTCATGGCCTTAATATGAATGGTGATTAATGCTAATGAAATTAGTATATAAGCTTTACCAAAAGAAAAATGTGATATGAATGCATGATAAAGATCAAAATTTAGAAGAGCTTATCTTCATAGAATCCAGTCTAAGTTAACGCGGTACTTAGAATCCAGTCTAAGTTAACATTTTCTATGTGTTGATTTATAGTCTCATTTCGTGGGTATGCTGGATTATACTAAAAGATTGGTTGAGTATGTGAAGCAATTGACTATGAGGTCAGCCGACTTTATTGTATTTTCTAACTTTTCGTCCACGTGTATTGCTCTGTAGCTAGTTATGTACCCTATTATCAATCTGCGTTATCACAAGATGGATCTCCATTGGTACCTCAGGGCGCTTGAGGAGGTGGTCATTCTTGCTCTTTCCTCAGCATTTTCTATCAAAGCTTCCCGGCTTGAAGGTTTAACTGGTGTTTGGGTTGGTATGTTTTATAAATCCTTGTATCTATGGTTTTTTCAGTTTGTATAATTTATCTTATTGCTTGTTATGCTAAGTTTACATGAGCTTCAGAGGTGATATTATTTGACTTCTAAAGGAATGTATAGTATCTGAGAATCGTAATACTATTGAACTTTTTGCCTTTTTGTACATCTATGTTTTTTAACACCATAAATATTTATTGGCTCATCTTTATCATTCACCATTTTCTGTGAATTGGTCAAAGATAAGATTAATGTAGCGAGCATTATACTATTTGCTCTTCTCTTGAGTAAATGCATGTGAAATGGAACAGTTTCTAGATTACACACTTCCACTGATCATGAATGAATACTAACTCAGCACTTGAATGGTTCTCTGTACTTGCACTCCTTTTAGGCCTTTTTGAAGCCTGTGGATCCAAAATTCTTATTCACTCTATAAGAGTGGAATCTTCTTCTATATTAACAAGAAACGTAAATGATGATATGTAAAATTTTATAAATTGTAGTTTATTCTTTTCTTTTAGTAACTTGGAGGACAAAAATAATGCATGGTAGAAGTTACATTGTCAACTTGACATTTGATTATTTTGATTTATGCCTCATCAATTTGAATTGTGTGGTTCAATGATCTAATGGTCCCAGTTGGTGCCAAAATGCACACATTGTTTGCATATATATGGTTATACATCTACTTGGAATTTGGTCAGCACCAGACTGGTGCCACAAGCGTGTACATCTAAGAAATGACTCCAGCAAATGCCTATTACTTTAAGTGCATACTTATTTAACAATCAATGATCCTGCAGGATGTCTAAAGATGATCTTATTTGTTAATTTCTTGTTTCCATGCAAGTTGTTTCGACAAGTCAGATGGGCTGCATATTTCATCTTTGTTATGAATATCTTTGATAATAATAGCATATTGTCCTTATTACTCTAATAGTACTTTGTGTTAAACATTTTCTTTTTCCTGAACTGTATTCAACATAATTGATTTCTTCTTTTCCTGTTTTTATTTTGCTAAGAAAAACAATAGCAGCCTAAAAGATTGAATTGCTTCAGGAGATCAGAAATTAGCTGCTATTGGGATACGAGTATCACAGTGGGTAGCATATCATGGCTTATTCAATGCTATTGGCTTAGCATTGAATATCACCGCAGATCTAACTCCTTTTCAAAGAATAGTTCCATGTGGGATAAGGAATCGTCGTGTTAGAAGCATAAAGGGATTATTGATGGAATCTTTGTCACTTGATGGATGCAGAAGAATGGACATACAATGTCATGATGATTACCAACTAATTTATATTACTCACAAATCATTAGTAAGAGCATTTTGTGAAGTTTTCCAAGTTGACCTCCTCCAAAAATCTATCCCGCCTCAGAATTATGAAAGGGGAAACTGCCAACATACCTTACTGGGAACCTAATCTAACTGAGAGATTAAAAAGAGCTTGTTTGAATCATCTCAACCAGTCAATGTATCTGTTGTAGAATACTATTGAAAATCTTTATGGTCTTCTCTATCTATAAATTGGGACCTCATCTACCTAAATGAAACAACTCTGCAGCAGGCTTGTGTTCTTGAAATATTTAGATACCTTGTATTCTATTTTTTTTATCTGTGATGAATATTTCTGGATACTTATTATAGTTCTAAATTTCTTCAACTTTACTCTCAATACCTGTATAGTTCCTTGCAGCATTTCATTTAAACAAAAGACTTACACAGTTAGGTTCAACGAAGCATTTCATTTAAGTAAAATACCTAAGGGTATTGCTTGGCAGGACCGTTTTGGAGCTTTGGAATTGGGTTGGATGCTCCAATTCCAAATTCTGTGCTTGGATACTATAACTAACATGGGTATGGAATTACATTACAATCCCAAACACCCCAAATCAACAATTTCAATACCACGATCGAACCACATATTTGAAATCCCAAAACCAACCCAACACAACACCTCTCTATCTCTCTCTCCCTAGCGCTCACTCGACCCCAACCTCTCGATCTCTCTCGACCCCCAACCTCTCGATATCTCTCTATGGCTCGCTCCACTCCATCATTCCATCTCAATCCAGCTCCCTAGATTGTCCATCTCTAACCCTAGCTTTTCCATCTCGATCAGCCTTCAAAGCCTAGCTCATTGATCATTATTTTAGAACCCTAGTTCAATCGTTCAGTTGAAGATGAAGATCATGACTAGTAGCAAAGTGTATGTTAATTTCTCTCTCTACTGATTTTTTCCCTTCTTCTTTAAACCCTAACTATGCATTTGTTGCTTTGCAGAGAATCATCAGTATCTCACCTTTGCTCTTCAGTTACTCTTTAACTGTGAAGGTCCCCTTCGTCATTTTTGTTATCCAAAACTGTTCTAGTGTTGTTTTGAGGTTAGTATTTACATATCTATCATTTTTCATGATGAAATTATAATTGATTTTCTGTTTATACGCTTTTGCTGGTTTGATTGCTTGCAATGATTTTTATGTTGTGTTTTTTTGTGCTTTTTAGAGGGAGTGATTTCTGTTCTTCTTCTTTGTTGTTCGGTGCATTTGAACTTGGACTTGTGTTACTCTCTAATTGCCTAGGCTTTTGCCTCTAATAATTGCATAGTTGCAGACATGTTAATATGGAACATGGTTTAATTTTGGACACAGAAAATACTTCATTGTGTTTTGCTTCAAATTCTGGTTGTGAGAATATAATTTTGTGCATGACAAAATCTCTGATAGGCTTGAGTGGGTGCATATAGGCATTGCCTTGTATGTTACTGCACTAATGTCGTTGTAGATTTGCTTGTTACATCTATGTTTTAAAATAAAATTTGTCATAGAAGCTGTGTTAGGCATTTCCTATAAAAATGGGGAAATTTTGGATCCTATGGAGATTTCTTAACCAAGTGAAATTTTTTGACATGGGAGGGCCTATTGACCCTCATGAGATTATAGTAAATAACCATTTGACCCTTAAAGTGACAACCAGAACCTCTCTTTCAGGGCTGCTTTAATAAACTATTGTCCTATAAATAATTGGTTTGGTTCTGGTGGCTGGTAGGAAGTTAATTGCAATTCACAATTTCATACCCTTAAAAGAACTGCAGCTTCTTCTTTTTTCAATTTTTTTTTATCCGCAATTTTTATTCTGACTTTTTATTTTATTTCATTTATATATTATTATTATTAGAGAGAAGAATCTACCATAACCTTGTCCCTTTCTTTTGAATGTCCTGCCAGAACTTTTTTACTGTGCTACAATAACTTTGATATTATTCTCTTTAATCATATTGATTATATTTGTGTATTAAAATGATGCTTTGATGATGGTTTTATGTATTAGAAGTGAATTCTTTTGAAGGTCTTTCCCTTTTCTTCTTCCTCATTTTTTCTGTTATCCCTTCTTGGCAATATTACCTTCAAACTAACACCAGGTCGCACCTCCACACTGACAACATCATTAATAGCACATATGAACATCCTTGTTCTTTTGATGAATTTGGGTCACTTTTAACATTTGATACAAGAATTCTTCATCTTAAATGAAATCATTCTTAGCATTTATAGTGATGAATAATTGAAAGAGTCACATCTAAAGAAAATCCAAGAATGATTCTATACCATCAGTTATGCTGATAACTCCCAATAGTATTTGTCTTCTTTCTTTCATTTTAGGGTAATTTGCACTCACACCCCCTGAGGTTTGGGTCAATATCACTCAGCGGACGGTTAACGCACTAGTTTACATTGACATCCCCTAAGGTTTCAAAAGTTTACATACACACCCCCTCTATCCGAGAAAATGACTATTTTAACCTTTGACTTAGTCAACAAATACATAAAAAATATATATTACTAATATAATCCTGTAAACTAAATTTTAAAGGACCAAAATACCCTTCATTTTACACTCTCTCTCTCTAACCCACCAACCCTCTGTGCCTCTTACATACCACTTGATACCCACTACATACCCTCTATATCTCTATCTCTATCCTCTCATACACTCTCTGTCCTAAAACCACCCACCACCATCGCTGCCCCCTTCATGAGAAACCCACCATGCCACCGTCGTCGCCACCAACAATCAGAAGCAACCACCACCGCTTGCGAATCAGAAGCGACGAGATCAAAGGCAAAAGCCACCACCGCTCGCGAATCAGAGAAACCCACCACTGCCATCACCACCAACAATCAAAACCACCACCACCGAATTAGAGGCAAAAGCCCTCTGCGAATTAAAGGCATTATCGACGTTTGCAGTGGCAAACAAAGATCTGCTCAGTAATGCCAACAGTTTTGACAATTGCAACGGTGAACACAAATCTTCTCTTCACCGCTGGTAATTTCGCCGTGGGTAGGGTTAAGATCGGGCTCGGTGGTCCAATAACTTGCTCAAGTAGTGTATGGGTGTGTGGTTGTGGTGGGGTGTGTGTGGGTTTGACCCAGAGGCTGTGTGTGTGTGGCGGCGGCTACGGTGGTTGTGGCGTGCGGTGGTTATGGCGGTGGGTGTGTTGTGTTTGATGTGGCGGTGCTGTGTGGTTGTGGCGGTGTGCAGTGGTTGTGGCGTGTTTGATGTGGTAGTGTGCTGGGGTTGTGTTTGTTGCGGCGGCGGTCGGCGGTGGGTGTGTTGTGTTTGATGTTGTGTTTGTTGTGGCAGTGTGCGGCGATTGCGGCATGGGTTACAGTGGCGTGGCAGTGTATGGGTGTGGCGGTGGTGGGTGAGGGGAATACAGAATATTGATTAGGGTTATTTTTGTCAATTAACAAGTTCAGGGGTAAATATGACTTTTGAAACCTCAGGGGGTGTCAATGTAAACTAGTGCATTGACCCAAACCTCATTTTAATATAGCTGAGGACAACAAACCTTAACAATAGGAAAACAGATTGATTACACAAGGATTCCGTACTAAAAAAAATTGTCTCCCATTATAGAAATTAATGAAGGTATTCATAGTTATAAATTTGGATTCAATGCTTTAAGACAATAAGACTATTCAAATTTAGTGAGATGCTGAAGCACACACTAAATTAATTTCACCTGGAAAATTTTAGTTAAGCACCTGAAGTAAAGTGCAGTCATTTTTCCCCCCCACTATAAGACATCGTTCTGTTAATATTTTCCACAAAAAGTACAAGTTTAAGGTGAAAAGGAACAAAACGGAAAAGTCAAAAATGAATCAAGATTGATATTTTCAGAGGGATAAGCATATGGTTTCCTTTTTACATTTCATCTTTTTAGCATCATGAGTAAATAGATTTTAATCTGTTATTACAAGTTAGCTTTGAAAGTAATTTTAAGGTCTACATTCTTGACTTAACATCCTTAATTCTGGCTATCTCTCTTATTATGCATACACACACACACACACACACACACACACACACACACACATATATATATATATATTATTTCCTTGGTTCATGCTCACCTATGTCTCAAACAGATCTCCCAGGACTTTCCGTGCGCAGCCTATAATTGAACTAAATGAGTTTTCAAATTGAACTAAATTGAAAATTGACTTGTTAGGCCAACAGTTTAACTATGAGAGTGTTCTATAATGCACCTTCACAGGGTAAACTAGCTCAGTTCACCTAACTGTAGGAAATGAGCCGTTCAAGTAATTGTGTTCATTGTTTGACTAAAAATGGGGATACTGACATCATAAATAACTTATGAAAATTAACAAAAAAGTTTGTAATTTGACACTAGGGATTTTTTTTTTTTTCCTAGTTGATACTCACACACACTGCCTCTACTGAGGTTCGAACCCCTAACCTCCCTTTAGAAAGTAGGAGCCTTGTACCGCTAGGCCACACGCCTGTTGGTATGACACAAGGGATTTGAAATCATCTCAAAGATATGACAATAAATAAGTCCACCATTGTAAAAAGCTTGATCAAAACTTTTCTTTAACCAATCAACAACTTACTCACTGTTGAAGTGTCTTGAAATGGAAGAGTTTTTTTCAACCCTCTTCGAAGTGTCTTGAAATGTATAAATGAATTGTGATGATATCTGCTTGCCAAAGGAGTGAGCCCTTGGTATTTGATTAGCATCCTTTAATAATTATTGAAGTGGGCAAAGTGTATTAAAAAGGATTGTTAATGCACTTACTCACTGTTGCGAGGGTAAAGAGGATAAATTAATAATACAAGTTTATTAATTTAAACTTGTATTAAAATATAGTTGGCATTAATCTAGGACCCCTCAGTGATTAAGTTGACTTTCCTATTAGTAACCCTGTAACAGTACTGATGACGAGATAGATTGACACTCATATCATTATCATCATTATCTATCTATCACTCTCAGTTGAGTAATTAGTTGATACTGCTTTGTTCATTATTCATTTTTCAATTTAATTCTTTTTCGTATCCTAACTTCTTATCCTACCTTCTTAATAAGATTCTTGTTTCTATATCTTTATTAGGATGGGTTATTTTTTTTTTTTTTTACTTTTTTAATTGTGACAAATTACTTTCACAATATTTTAGAGAAATTTCGACCCTCTTTTACTTTGAAACTTAAATTATTGTCTGCATATCTTTTACTTTGGGCTGAATTACACACACACACACACGCATATGCTCAGAATCTGTTTTGCTTAGTCATCATTTCTGTTATAGTTTTAGCTATTTGTAGTGGCAAGTAGTATTTCTGTTCATACTTCAGTTTCGAGAAGCCTGATTACTGATAGTAAAGCTAGGATGTTATGTTTTCCATTACTTATCAATACAGCAAAACGAAAATAAAATAAAAGAATGAGTATTTGATGATTGCTATCCAAAAAGTTTTTACATGATAATTTATTTTGCGAATGCTTCTATTTTTGTTTGAGTTTGCATCTGTTTCTGTGGAGCACCTTTTCTAACAAGTGGTTATCTGTGAAGGGATTTATTCCAACTTCCGATAACTAATATGCTTCTGGTGCGGTGCTATTCATTAAGATGGTTAGCGCCTAATTAAAATAACTGAATATTTCTGAAGTTCAATCTTAATATGCATGAAGATTGACGTGGAACACTAGAATGTTAAAATTTTCATTTTGATTGGGGAATGAAGTTTGAGAACCACTCCTTTGGATGTTGTGATTACAAAAGTGAATGCTAAGAGGAAGATTTACCCAGTGAAGGAATCTTGGGCTGTTTTGAGAACTCCTATCATTTATAGGAGTATGGGTTGTGTCAGAGTCGTATATTTAGTAGCCATCTTCCTCCAATTGACTTTTTCTGACTTCTGAAGTGTGAACCTTCAACATTTGTTGGGGACTCACCATTGAAAACATTACCTTGTGTTCTTCTTACTGAACATTCACTTTTAATCCTTTGTAATTGTAACAACACTCCTTGTGACATTTGAAAATAATTTGGTGGATAAAATGTCTCAATTACTCAATTAAGGTTTATATCTTTGTCAGTGTGATTCTCAGGACGAGTCCCATAAGCTGTAATTAATGTTCTTAAATCCTGGCAACTATTCTACTGCTAGGAATGTTAGGCTTGTCATGTAACTTATTATTAATTACTTTAAGCATTCATGAGAAAAACCAGTATTCGTAGTTGAGTGCGTATGCTTATTGTACAATAATACTACATTGTTAACGTATTGAAGTAATTTGCTAGGCATGGAAATCAGAGAGGGCAGTGAGAAAGGGAAGTCAGCAAAATACTTTACATGGACTGTTGAGATGGATCGTATATTGTCTGCTGTGTTAATGGAGCAGCTGAACTTGGGAAACCAACTTGACGGCAAATTGGCGAGGAAATAGGTTGCTTGGACTGTTGCTATCAGTGCTCTGAAAGAGCAGCTCGGTATTGGTGTCATAAAGCAAAACATTCAATCCCGTCTAAGAAACTTGGGACAAACATTATACAATCACACGTGACATGCTCTCCAAATCATGTCTTTTTTTTTTTTTTTTCTCTCTTCTTTGTTGGTACTCACACACACGTGTCTCCACTGAGACTCGAACACCTGACCTCTCTTTGAGAAGTAGGAGTCCGGTACCGCTAGGCTACTGGCCTATTGGTCTCTCCAAATCATGTTTACTTTGGGAAATTCTGGTGAAGAAATATGCAAATGAGCAGTTGCCAGTTTGGTGTAGTGACTGTGATCCACATTAATATCTGCTTATTTGGTGTTTGATGATTGCATATATGTTGCCCTTGTTGAACAATTAGTACTAGTGTTGTGTTGCTGATGAGCCTCACGATATGTTTTTTGTTTCATTTCGTTGCATTTTGTAGTAACATTTTTTGAAAACTTTTCCTTTTCTGATATTTTTATCACAGTATGTCATATAAAACGGCCCTTATCAATGCTACCTAGAACGGATAGAAATCTGTCCATATTTAGCATATGAAGTTTTGAAATTATGGTATAAATTGATATAAATTTATGGCTGCATAAGGTGCTCAGCCGTATTCTGTGAAGCCAATACTGACCTCTCCCTGGAAAGTTCCCACCATTCTCTCCCTTTCTAAAAATCTCTCACACTATATTCAGCTCTGTAGATTTCTCCCTATAAAACATCTCTCTAGATATTTCTATATCTCCATAGAAAGAGATGAGACTAGCGAAAATATTTTACCTGTAATATAGATTGAAATAAAGGAAATAGATGGATTAAAACGAATAACATATACCATACGGTGTCAGAAAAAAAAAAAAAAAAAAAAAAAAAACCGAATAATATAATATTATATGGTGCCAAAAAAACAAAAAAAAAAAAAGGCCACGTGTAATATCGCAAGGCATTGATGCTTGCCATTATACAAAGGTCCCCCATTGAAACGAATGCAGTGCAAGGCATTGATGCTTGCCATTATACAAAGGTCTCCCATTGAAACGAATGCAGTGCAACAGAGCGTATATTTATTTTTTGAGAGGGAAAATAAATAAAAAAATACTAATTTGGCAAGTCGCGTAATGCCACGTAATAATTATAAATGTTCTCTCTTGTTTGCACGCCCTCCTGTCGCCGTTCATTTGAAATCATTGATAGAGATCCATCTCATGTTCCCGTTCCAAAGCAATTAGGGATATAAAACTAAACATTCTTAGTCTTCTTCACCTTATCAAGGCCTTGGTATCTCCAACTCCACCTCACCTGCCGGTGATCTCTCCGGCGAGTACTCAATGTTTTCTCCAACACCATTGTCTCGCCCTAATCCTCGCCGTCGAATTCGACACAAGCCGTAGCCCAAGCAATCACATCAAAATCAACTTGAACAACATCGAATCAAAGGCGATTTTTGAATTAAATCTGGGTAATACATGCCTGGATCGAATTTGAGATCATTGATCATATATGCCCCATTTTTTTTATTTTAGAATTAGCTATTTGTGTGGTATAGAGAATTATTTAATTTCAATTTTAGTTTTATGCATAGCAACTTTTGGGGATGTTGAATCTAACGACTTGATGAATATACAGACTATTAGAGTTTGTTGGGGTTGGAAGTGAGATGAATAGATGATGCATGATTGCTTTGGTGGGGAGATAAAAAAAAAAAAAAAAAGAAAAGAAAAGAAAGAAAAGGAACAGCTGGCCCACTCTTTTTCAGAGATATTGCAGCCCAAACGAGAGAGAGAGAAAGCAAGAAAGCTACAAAGAGAGAGTAGAAGAACAAGGGGAGGAGTAGGAAAGGAGAGAAACTCGAGAAGGAAAAGGAAAGAAAAATTGGGAAGAACGCAAAAGGTAGGTTTTACTAAACTTTACCAAACTTTTGAAATTGTTGTTTTTATTTGTTAAAAATTAGAGATTCTACACAAATGTTCTCTTCATGTGAAATATGGAATTATATTGTCAAAATATTTTTTTGGATATGAAATCAGTTGAAGGACTTGTAAAAGTTTGAAATGAACCCTTGTGGGAAAGATTGAACTGAACAGTATGGTTTTAGGCCTGAAATTCCTATATTTTTGAATTGTTATTTTTAAAATTAAATTATGGTTCCCGAAAGTACAATTGTTAATTAGTTTACAGTTTTTAATTTTTATTTGACTCAAAATGGTTAGGTTGTGAATTTGTTATGTAATTTTTAAAGTTGGATAAAATCTGCTGCAGAAATGGAGTTCTAGAACAGAAATTCCTTTACTGTTATTTCCAATTACTGACCTGATTTGTAAGCTACTTATAAAAGTAATTTAATAATAATCAAGCATGGTCAGTTAGCATTCCATTGGCTTTGGTTTTATGCAATTTGGGTTAAAATGCTATGTTTGGTGAATTTTTAAAGTTGATGTGCTTTTGCTGAAATTTTTTATGAGTTTGGAAAACAGTTCTTTTGATTAATTTTATTTCATATCTATGATTGGATTTTGAAGATGAAAATTTGAGAAGTGAAATTAGCCACGGTGATGTCTCTCAATAATTTTATTTCTATTAAAAAAATATATGAAAGGTTTGATTTTTAGTGAATTCTTGAACATTAGTTGTTGCTCTGGAGAAAACAGCTTGGATATGAAAATTGAATGTTGTTTCCATAATTTGGAATTGGATTTGGAAACCCAAGCTTTAATGGTTTGAATAACTGAGGGTCAGGGCCATGCCAAATGTGAAACGTTGGCCGGTGGGTTTCTCTCGGACAACCACCATTTGCTTGGGTAAATGACCCAAAACCACGTGGTATACCCCTTGTGTGGGTAATTGAGGGATGGGGCCACGCCGGTGCAAAAGGTTGGCTGGTGGTATGACCACCAATTGATTGGATTGATGATTGAGGGTTCGGATCACACCTGTGTGAAAGGTTGGGTGGTGGATTCCGTGGAGGACCACCATTGGTTGATAAATACATTCATCCCGATGATCATGAAAATTTTGGGTTCATTTTATGAACTATTGCGGTTTTAAGAAAATGATGTTATAACTTATGATGGATTGAAATTGAAAATGAAGTTTGGAGAATATGCTAATTGAGGTACTATTATTTATTTAAATATGTTATGCTGTCTAATTCCAATTGTTCGGTTCATTTTCTGAATTTGTTCTGCAATTGTTAAAGGAAGTTTGTCTTCTGCATTTTAAAGAACTTATCTGTTTTTCTACGAACGTAGGAAACCTACTGGGCTCTTTGAGCTCACCCTTTTCTTTTACAAAAAATATTTTCGAGTCCTAACATGGGGAGCAAGGCACCGAGAAGAAATGAAGTTGCTATGGAGTGTTGGGTTCCGAAGTTGCTTGGCTTGTATTGGGTTATTTCTATTTTGAGGGTGCTATCACTACTATGAGACTGGTGTATATTATCTTACAATTTAATATGGACTTTGAATCATGTACATAAAATCTGGCTATGGGCTGTATGGATTTTGGGTATTATAGAGATTTTAGACTCTTAAGAGTCGAGACAATTTGGTGCCTTATTGTTTTCACTGGTTTAAAATAGTCTTCTTAGAGATGTTTTTGTCACTTTATTAGTTTATTATTATTTCACGTATTCGAGAAGTGGGGCGTGAGAGTGGTATCAGAGCACAGGTAGTAGATTCTTTGGGAGTTTAGGTGTATTGGAGATATGATATGAGGTATATTCGAGGAAAAAATGGATGAATTCCTTAAGCACACTGTAGGATTATGTATTAAAAATTGATGACCTATTTTTGTAATTTTAGAATGCAATAAAAATTCCATGTTCAATGAAGTTAGAAAAAAATTGCGCAATTATTTAATTTGAGGCTAGGTGTCACACCTTAATCATTCTCAAAGGAATTTGACAAGTATGCAATTAGGAAAATGGAGCAAATGTTAAATCGAAATAGTTGAGTAACGATCTGTTCTAGATTCTTAGGTTGTGAATCTATTGCAATGTTTAAATATACCGGAGCTTGGGGATCAAGCTTGACTAGAATTTAAGAAGTTTGTAGATAACCTTAATGATGAGCTTGTTGGAAATATAAGTGCATAATCATAACTACAGAACGAAATCTGCCTATTGATTACAGTTGGCTGAAGATAGATGAACACCAATTTGGAGTTCCGGCCTATCAATTCTTAATTGATGGATCTGACTTATCCAAATGTATAGTCGGGAGATGTATTTAACCAGGGTAAAGAATGATTTTTTAAACTTCCGATCCTTCTGGTTAAGATGTTCGATTAACTTTTTTATTGGGTGTTTACGGTAAAAGAATCCTTCAGCTTAGTCCTAATTAATCCGTTCTCTGGTGCTACCATTGAGCTTCCTCCGATTATGGACCGCTCAAAATAGAGACCTCATCAGCCTCCTGAGGTTGAGTTTGAAATTATGAAGGCTACATTGTCTGCTAACCCTGTTTCATTTCCTAATGACTGTATTATCAGCGCAATATATGGTGGTAACAAAAGGCTGACATTCATTCAACCAGGAGACAAAGCTTGGACTTACATAGATAGAGAGAGATATACACTCATCTTTGATGTAATATATTATAAAGGTCAAATTTTTGCAGTTGATTATTGGAATGGAATCATAATGGTTGATCTTAACACAAGGGTTGGGGAGAGTATGGCTCCCCAAGTGAAGGAAATTGCACCGCGGATATCACAGATTGATGTCTTTGATCGGGCATATCTTGTCGAATCATCTAGCGGAGATTTACTTCTTGTGTAAAGGTTTGTAGATTATGACGACGATGATTTCCAACATAAAACTGATGATTGTCTAGTTTTCAAGGTGATTTTACAAAAAATTAATGAAGAGGGTTGGCCGGAGCAGGTTGAAGTGAAGAGCTTAGATGGAGACACCTTGTTTTTGGGAGATAACCATTCAGTATGTGTTTCAGCTTCCAAATGGCCCGGGTGCCAACCCAATTCCATATACTACACAGATGATTATATTGATGTTAAATCTCATCTCCCACATGGGCGTCGTGATATTGGCATCTTCAACGTAGAGAATGATAGCTTTGGGACGCATTACATTCTTGATCCTTCACATAAGCATATGCCGCCCTCAATTTGGATTGTGCCAATCATAAATGGAAATTGATTACAGAAGTAATTTCTCGAGTATCTGTTGGTGTAATTTAATTTGTTTAGTTCTTTTTCTTTGAAACGAATTTACATTAAAATGTAAGATCATGTTTTTGAGACTTATAAATAAACATAACATATATCACCTGAGATCAAATTCATTATTTTTTATTTTTTATTTTTTATTTTTTATTTTTTATTTTTTAATTATGACCATAATATAATTCATTATTTTTTATTTTTTATTTGTTATTTTTTATTTTTTATTTTTGTAAAGAGGAAGTGATTGTCTTTTTCCTCATTTAGAATCATGAATAATATTCCTTAAAAAATGGTTGGAGACACTTGAACAATGCTTTGATTATTAGATCTAATAATTTCAGTGCAGAACTTACCATTTTTTATGTCTTTTTGTTAATGACGAAAAGTGCAGAGACCAAGACCTTACCACTTAAATATTATAAATCTAATTTAGGTGAAGCAATCTTAATTAAAACTTCGTTCTTAAAACAAGCAAATTTCCTGCCATCCTCTGCATGAAGTTCTTGTTTGAACCAGCCTCTCATTCATTGTGTGTCCTAAATTTTTCTATTTTGTCTTTTCCAAAAACTTATTCATGCATATGATTAAGTTTGAAAGAATTGTTGAGCAGAAATAAAGTATCTTGCGGTGAGATAATTAATGACCAAACTCATTGGAGATTTCACTACAATGTGTACTCAAGTCATTGAAACTCTTAAATATGAGAATTTAATTTTTTGTGGCTTGTACGGCACTCATCGCTAATTCTTCAATAACTTTCTGTTTGGCACAATTCTTCAATAATTGGTCTCTCGAATAATAAGTGGGGGAAAGAATGTTAAGTGATTTTTAGTGAATTCTCAAACATGAGTTGTTGCTGTGGAGAAATTAGCCTGGATATGAAAACTGAAGTCCAGGGTTTAGGGGAGATGAAACCCTGGACTCATTGTTGTATTAGGAAATAGCCTTCTGATTAGGAAAGAATTGTCACTATTCATGTAATATATATAGGTCACTAGGGCATCAGAATAACTCATCACTTTGTTTTGATTTGATTCTCTTTGCTTTTGCTCTATTGGTTTACATCGTCAAAGCTTAATAAGGACTCTCGGGGTGAGTTGTATTTCTATCATGTTTTGTTAAACTAATTTTGCTGCCTATGCGTATTAGTGAGATGGAATTATTTCCTTCTCAATTACTATGCAGTTTAGACATAATTAATGCAAAAACGTAAAATATATATATATATATATATTTCTTTCTATTTTTCTATTTTTCGTTTTCTTTTAAGGGTATCTTTTCCCTTTGCCATTTAATTATTAGTCTTCAAACCCTTATTTATTTATTTATTTTTGTGTTTTTTTCTTCTTCTTTTTTTTTATTATTTTTTGACAGATGAGCGGATAAGAATTAATGAATTGGTGGAGACTGCAACTTATATATTGGTTTTCAAAAACTTGTACTATTGCAGAGAAAAATATACCATATTGCTTGTTCTGTTTGGATTGTTTCTGTTTTTTTAGATTGGATTTTATTGTTTTAATGGTTGCCAACGTGTCTTAAATAAATATCAATACTGTATAATAAGTAAAATAAGTAAGTAATAATAATACTATAATAAGAATGAAATAAAAAGAAAGAAAAGAAAATATCCCAACTATCACCTTTTTCTCTTTTATTACCCCTTCAAGTATACAAAGAGGCAATATGTGTCTCACGAGTTAGATCAACACATAAATTATACACATGGCTGGACTTTGGTGATGTTTAGCATTCTTGTTTGGTGATGATTTAGCATTTCTCAAATAGATAACAATAGATTTAAGTTGCTATAGCTCTCAATTTGTGTTTTCTTTTGTGTGTACTGATTTTTTTTTTTAAAAAAATCATTAGGTTAAGATTATGAATTCTGTTCAATTTTTTTTTTTTTTTTTTTTTTTTTTTTTTTTCAATTAATTGATTATTTCGATTCTTTGATTTGTTTACACTGTAGTGGTATTGCTTATGAATATGGGCTCACTGTTGGAGTCCAAGTCTGATTGGGCGTGGCTTTCGAAGCACTTATTGAATATGATTCTGTACAATTTGGTTTCGCTTTCTGACTATGTTTGCACTGGTGCTGTTTGCAAACCATGGTACTCTCTGGCAATGGAGAAGAAAGTTGAATTTTTTGAAAATAATTGTTGCAGACAAGTTCCATTCTTGATGGTCATAGCCTCTACAGCATCACTCATAATAAATTATATGATTTCAGTTACAAGTACCTTCCAAAAAGAGGCTTTCTGGTTCCTTGCATGGTTTGATTTTTACGGTAAAAGAATCCTTTAGCTTAATCCTAATTAACCCGTTCTCTGGCGCCACCACTGAGCTTTCTCCGATTATAGACTGCTCAAAATACGGACCTAATCTGCCTCTTGAGGTTGAGTTTGAAATTATGAAGACTACATTGTCTGCTAACCCGATTTCGTCTCCTAATGACTATATTATTAGCGCAATATGTGGTGATAACAAAAGGCTGACATTCATTCAACCAGGAGACAAAGCTTGGACTTACATAGATAAAGAGAGATTTAAACTCTCTTTGATGTAATATATTACAAAGGTCAGATTTTTGCAATTGATTCTTGGAGTGGAATCATAATGGTTGATCTTAATACAAGGGTTGGGGAGAGTATGGCTCCCCAAGTGATGGAAATTGCACCGCGGATAGTGAGGCTTTATAACGTCTCTGATCGGACGTATCTTGTCGAATCATTGTGCAGGGATTTACTTCTTGTGCAAAGGTTTATATATTCTGATGAAGACGATGATTTCCAGCCTGAAACTGATGATTTTGTGGTTTTCAAGGTGCTTTTATAGAAAATTAATGAAAAGGGTTGGCCTGAGTAGGTTGAAGTGACGAGCTTAGGTGGAGACACCTTGTTTTTGGGAGATAACCATTCAATATGTGTTCCAGCTTTCAAATGGCCCGGGTGCCAACCCAATTCCATATACTACACGGATGATTATATTGATATTAAATTACATCCTCCACATGGGCGCCGTGACATTGGTTTCTTCGACTTAGAGAATGAAAGCTTTGAGACGCATTACATTCTTGATCCTTCACATAAGCATATGCCGACCTCAATTTGGATTGGGCCAACCATAAATGGAAATTGAGTAAAGAAGTAATTTCGGTAGTGTCTTTTGGTCGAATTTAATTTGTTTAGTTCTTTTTCTTTGAAGTAAATTTACATTAAAATGTAAGATAACGTTTTTGAGACTTATAAATAAATATTATTTGTGGTTAGTTCTCATAATCTATTTATGGCCATAATATATGACCTGAGATCAAATTCATTATTTATTTATTTTATTTTTTATTTTTGTAAAAAGGAAGTGGTGGTCTTTTTCCTCATTTAGCATCATGAATAATATTCCTTAAAAAAATGGTTGGAAACACTTGAACAATGGTTTGATTATTAGATCTAATAATTTCAGTGCAGAACTTACCATTTTTTTATATCTTTTTGTTAATGATGAAAAGTGCAGAGACCAAGACCTTACAAGTTAAATATTATAAATCTAACTTAGGTGAAGCAATCTTAATTACTAAAACTTTGTTCTTAAATCTAGCAAATTTACAACTTATTCTTGCATATGAAAGATGGCCTTGTGCATGTATGGTTGGTAGTTTGGTAATTTTCACAACCGTCTCCGACTCTCCGATGGACTTTAGGTTAATTTACACAAGTTGAAATGTAAAGACAAGTGAATTGTGTAAGATGATAGGAGGAAATGCAAACACAAAATGTTCAGAGATTACTATACCTGGTGACGACTCTGTTACTTCGAAGGATTTCTCTATAGCCTGTAAAAGTGTAAGTGGTAAATGCAAACACAAAATTGTATTTCTTATTCTTTTTCCTTTCTTAAATTCTCTTTACATTATGTTTCTTGGGACTTGTTAGGCCGGAGAAATTATTGTATCCCTCATCAATCAAAGGATGACATATTAAAAAAAAAAAAAAAATGAAATAAAATTGACGTAATTACTTATTTGTCACTGTGTGATTGGCTGGGATTAATGATTCTGAAACCATGTAATAATTTTTTCACGTACCTATTTAGTTATCAACATATAATCCAAACATTACTTTTTTTACCACCTAACCCCTCTATAAATAAGGTGCTAGGAAGAAGGGGTTCTTGACCGTGCAACATTACTTTAAATCCAATCTAAATTAGAATAGGTTTCTTCACAAATTGTTTGTTAATACATGACTATTCCTAAATTGCATATTCACCAATACATAAACATTATTTCAGAATTCACTACCAATTGTTTATTGCAACAAGCCTAGTATTCTAAAATTCACATTCAATATGTAGATAAATGATGCACAGCTTTATGTATGACAGAGGAGGGGCTTGTGATGTTTGTAGTAATGAGACCTCTATTTATATGATGGCATGCTTTGACGTTAAGAAAATGTTCATGTCTCAACCTAATAAAATGTCACTAATTTGAATCTTCTATATGCTGAATAATTGGACAAGTCAGGAGATTGAAGTTTCATTAGAAGATATTTTGAACACCATTTTTTTTTTTTTTTTTTTTTTTTTCTGTGAGACTTTCATCTAGGCTGCAAGTTGAGCAGGCCCAATCTAGCCCGGTCCCAGTCTGATCTCAACCCCAAGTCGGGTTGGGTTGGGCCAGCCCAATGTCCAAAAAAGTTGGGCTCTAACCCAAACCTTAATGTGTTCGGGCCGTACAAGCTGACCCGTTCACGCCCGTTTTTCTTTTTTTTGAGATGTGAAAATGTTGAAATCATTTCTGATTTGATGGACGAGGGTTCTGAGCTCAAAACAGCCGGCTTCGTACCACTGTCAGGTTGCATGACATTTTTTCAGAGGCAATTGTCCAATGAATTTGAGTTGGTCCGCACCGTTCCAACAACTGAGATGCTCAGTTTTTCTCACCGAATAGTGGCTTTCACTGTTCCAGGTATT